TTATGATTATTGTTTTGGTTAAAATAAAAAAAACAGACGAATAATAAAAAAAATAGTATGATGAAACCGCCCTAATCATGAAAAAGAAAAACGAAAAACGAAAAAAGAAGAAAAAAGAAAAGAAAATTCAATAGATTTACTTACCTGGTACAGTCAGTCAGTCAGCTAGTCAGTCAGCTACAACGTAGGACCAGGCACATATGTGCATCGGTCCAAGTTGCCATACCTCATTAGCACAGCAAGATGAACAGCGGATTCATAGGAGTGGTTAGGTCAAAGGTTGCAATAAGGATATAGTATAGGAAGAAAGAATTAGTTCGTAGACAGAAAGAATGAAGTGATTTTAGTCTCTTAGTTTAAGGGAAGACAGAGAGTGTATACACCGACGCCATTGTGATCGATTCTGAACCGTGTCACATACAATCTCCAATCATTGGTTATGATAGTCACATGGACTCCAACCAAGTAGTCTGCATCTACCAACATGGCTCAGACTAGAAGTTAGTGACTTCAGGCACTGATGCCACGTTTTGGTTTGGCCGCCCCTAATTCTCTTCCAACCATCTCTAACACCGGTTAGCATTGCACGTCGTGGTAATCGGTGTTCAGGCATACGTAATACGTGGCCCAACCATCTCAGTCGATGAAGATTCATAACCTCATCAACTGATTTACCATCATTCCCTAATACCCTGAGCGTCTTACCTCACTATTACTTACCCGGTGATCCCAGCAGATGTCAGCAATATTTCTAAGGCATCTGTGGTGTTTAAATGAAGCCAGAATAAATATTGATGCAGAATAATAATATGAATTCTTATCATATTTCGAGGTTTCTCATTATCAGCTGCTTACAACCCATTGATAGGTAATAGAATAGAACAATTAACATAAATGAATGAATGTAAATGATTGGAATGACAAAGGTTTACAATAGTTAGTAAGGTGTTTCCTTTGGACAACCAGCATCTGCAGTGATGCTGCCTTCTTACAAGGAAAAAAAACAAGGGTTAGAAAAGGTTGACCGTAAAAATGTCACACCTCACCTTAACTCACAGGTTTCCGTCGCCAGCGATAAGGTTTTTTGAAGAACGAAGATAACATATTCAAAAACCTCTCACGAAAAGGCCGTGCGTGACCGACTTCAAGCAGTTGTCCCTTGAGCACTGAGGTCACGCTCCCAGGTCTTTAAGGCCAACATTAATTCAACTTTCATGCAATTAGTTCCCTTTATGAATTTAAATAAGGCAAGAACAACTATTGATGCAGAATAGTATGAATTCTCATAATATTTCGAGGTTTCTCATCAGCTCCTTACAACCACTGATATGTAATAGAATTTTACATTGAGATAAGAAATAGTGTGAAACAATTGACATTAATGAATGAATGTAAATAACTGGAATGACAAAGGTATACAATAATAACTATATATATACAAGAACAGGTCAGAGGTTAATTGGTGTTAGAAATAAAGAAATAATTCAGGATGGGTAGTGTAATAGTTTAGTAGAGTTCATAAAGTGTGCGATCAGTTTAGACTGAGATGGTTGGGCCACGTGTTACGTATGCCCGAACACCGATTATCACGAAATGCAATGCTAACCGGTGTTCGGGATGGTTGGAAGAAACTTAATGGAGGCCAAACCAAAACGTTGCATCAGTGATTGAAGTCACCAACTTCTAGTCTGAGCTATGTTGGTAGATCCAGACTGCTTGATTGGGGTCCGCGTGACTATCGTAACCAATGGTTGGAGACTGAGAGTGACATGGCTCAGAATCGATCACAATGGCGTCGGTGTATACACTCTCTGTCTTCCCTTAAACTAAGAGATTGAAATCGCTTCATTTCTTTCTTTCTACGAACTAATTCTTTCTCCCTGTACTATATTCTTATATGTAATCTTTCTTTTGTATATTTCTACCATTGAAGTGACTACTTTTATGAATCCGGTGTTCATCTTGTTGTGTTAATGAGGTATGGCAACTTGGACCGATGCATATATATGCCTGGTCCTACGTTGTAGCTGACTAACTGACTGACTGTGATCATTTTAGAGTTAATGAAGGATTCATGGAATTAAAGCAGTGATAAGAAAGATTACGTAATAATTACAATGGAAGATGGTCGTGCAAGTTCATGGATTGGTTGATGTTAAACACTATCACCATTGGATGCCGGCTCAGTGATCCAGTAGGTTAAGCCTTCGCGCGCGAGACTGAGGGACCTGGGTTCGAACCCCACGAGCGGGATCGTGGATGCACACTGCTGAGGAGTCCCACAATAAGACAAAACGGCCATTCAGTGCTTCCAGGTTTCTAAAGGTGGTCTAACAACAATCGGTTCATGATCTCAATCAAAAACTTAATAATCTCCACAACCCCTATACTAGAATTTGAAAAGTTAACATAATTTAAGAGGATCAAGTGAGCGGAAATGTGTGAATGAAAAGTTGGTTTAAGAATTTGGTAATGGGGGGAGGATTATAACACAAAATAAATATTTAAAAAAAAATAAATAAATGAATAAAATAACCCAAATAACAAAAAAATTGGATTACCAGGGTAACAATAAGTTTATTAATGTCTCTCTTTGAATACATGAATCCGGTTTAAGTATTTTATCGCGATTGCTTCAGCGAAACGGAGAGCAGTCGTACTTCTTTGTCTGTTGATAATTTTAAAAGTGTGCATGATGTCGATGGTATACCTGGTGTCAAGTAAATGTCGGGCTATTGCACTGTTGAGAGCCTTGGTCCGTTGCAGCCTCAAGTTTTTTGGAACATGGTCAGAAATGCGAACATGCACTCTTCTCTCAGTTCTTCCAATGTATGTGCTTTGGCACGTACATGTGAATTGGTAAATGCAATTGGAGCTACTGAGAAAAGAGGAATTGTCGATTCTAGTTTGTTTGAGTGAGCAGTCCGTTTCCCAAACTGTTGTCAGTTTCGCTGCTGGGTAGGCCACTTTCAACGCGGAATTTAATCTGTGATTAATTAATCCAGCAATTTTGTCTCATTTGAAACGTAAATATAAGAAGAAAGTTTTCTTTTCTACTATATCATACTTTTCCCGAGGATTGTTTTTGAATATTTATGAATGAATTTCATCGGAGATGCATTTTCACGTAGACAATTAGTGATGAGAGCGATCTCTTCATCCAGACATTCCTTTCAACAAATTTTACGTGTGCGGTCAAAAAGGGTCCGTAACTTATTGTACAGAAACTATAGTAATTGAGATATACTCCACTCCAAGTATTTTTGCGATGAATGTGTCTATGTAATGTGCCATCAGATGTTCGATGATTTTACTACTTTTAAAATATTATTTATGTCAAGATGTGTGCCTAGTAAGTGTTGAGCATTTAACGAAACCCGAAATCACTGGACGGCTGTTTCGTCCTAGTATGGGACTCCTCAGCAATGTGCATCCAGGATCCCGCTCGCGGAATTAGAACTCAGCACCTTTGGTCTTACTTGCACGCGAACGCTTAACTTCTAGACCACTGACCTGACATCCAAAGGTACAACTGTCCAGTGCTTTCAGGGGTCGAGCTTAAATCGGTTCATGAATTCAACCATTAAATTAATAGTTTCCATAAACCTTTATTCTGATTTAATAAAATGTCAAATGTTTAGACAATCAGGCTGTTAAAAAACTACTATAAACTACCATTAATCAGCATCACAATACAATCATAAGTATGCCAACATAGTACTGAACAGTAATTATATTATCTATAAAACGATCTTGGACGTACATTCTGTACTATCTGGGATTAATCCGCTTGACATGACTTTTTTTATTGAGATCATGAATCAGTTGATGTAAGACCACCAGTGAACACCTATAGGCACTGGATAACCGTTTCGTCCTAGTTGGGCTCCCCAATAGTACTCTTCTAGCAATATTTTTTTATTAAAGATTAAAACTCATATTCTATGCCATTAGACTTTACAATTGACTGATCACTGGGTAGTGATCAATGTCATATATATCAGGTCCTTGTTAGTGCAGATCGAACTCTATCACCAGTGTAGGTGATCACCACCCAGTGATCAACCAATTGTAAATAGATCTCAGTCATACAGGAGGTCAGTCGCACCTTAGACAGCTCAGTCGTAACGTCTCTAACTATGAAGCTGTGTGACACAGGTTCGAATCCGTCAGGGAGCATAAGTTCCCTCAAGAATAATATAGGCACACTTTGCTGACCATAGTGAATTGTAACAATTATTAAGTTTTTGATTGAGATCATGAACCGATTGATGTTAAACCATCATTGAAAACCTGGAATCACTAGGCTGCCGTTTCATTCTATTGTGGGACTCCTCAACAGTGTGCATTCACGATTCCGCTTGCAGGATTCGAACCTAGGACTTTCGGTTTCACGCGCGAACGGTTTACCTCTAAACCATTGAGCCAAGTAACATGAAACCTAGGTTCAGGGTTTCCTGTTAACTACCTCCAAACACCATCTTACCATTAGACTTTCCATTGTTAGTTCTTACCATGACTAATCAATAATATATTGTGATGTACCATGGAATTCTTTTGTCTTTATTCAAAGCTTTCACCTTAAATTAATATGAACAGTTGTGGAAAAAGAACTACAGTTCAATAATACTAATTGTGTTTTATTTAATTATACCCAACAAATTTTCTTTCAGCATAGGGTTGTCGAGATCATGAATCGATTGATGTTAGACCACCATTGAAAGCCTGGAAGCACTGGATTGTTTAAGGTTAGACATTAACACCGGCTCAGTGATCTAGTAGGTTAAACGTTCGCGCGCGAAATCGAAAACTCGGGGTTCGAATCCTGCTAACAGAATCGTGAATACACACTGTTGAGGAGTCTTACGATAGGATGAAACTGCTGTCTACTGATTCCAGGTTTTCAATAGTGGTCTAACATCAATCGGTTCATAATCTCAATCAAATTCCTTTTTACATTCGACTTTTCTTATTGTTCTTCTTTTCTTTTTCCCTTCTAGCTCTCAGTTTATTACCATCCAATAAGTATATCTATCAAATACGTTGTAAATGTCGTGAAGAAATGTATCGTACCGGTTTGAGTAACTCATATGAAAATGCATTAATTGATTATCGTTTATCACTTTTGGCTAATGATGTAACTAACCAATAACATCTATGTATACACAAATATAATTTACACTTCATTTATATAGACTAATATAACTTATATATTTGTTCATTCATGTATTGGCTTCACCACTCCTATGAATCCGGTGTTCATCTTGTTGTGCTAATACGGTATGGCAACTTGGACCGATGCATATATGTACCTGATCGTACGTTGTAGCTGACTGACTAACTGACTGACTTGACATTATTCTTCAACTTAAATGTTGATTTTGATTGAAGTTATGAATTGTTCAATGTTAGATCATCATCATCATCATCATTAAAAAACTTGAAAGATGATTGTGTAATATCATGAATTGGTTGAAGTTTAACATGAATACAGTTAGATGTTGGTTCAGTGATTTAAAGGTTAAATGTTCGCTTGTGAAACTGAAAGTTATAAGTTCAAGTCTTGAATGTTCGATCGTAGATAAGAATTGCTGAGGAGTTCTGTACTAGAACAAAATGCCCTTTATAAGTTTTCATTGGTGCTCTAATATTGATGGATTTATGAGATTTCAATCAAAAACTCAACAATTTTCACAACCCTATACTGATCATTATCATTATGTGCTCATTATTATTAGAAAGGTAATAACCGAATCATTATTTTTAGAATTCATAAGGATCCCAAGCGGAGATGAATGTGAATCATAATTATAAACTACGATGATTTTATTGTTATTCAGGGTAGTTGATGGGATATTTATCACAAATCAACAATTAATCAATTTGAAATGTCTTACAACCGATAGATCAGTAGAGACCCAAATGTCTTGGTCATATTATCTTTGACTAATAAAGTAGGAGTTCATATGACCGAATTCTTTCAGGAGCACAAATCTCCTCAACATTATAATACATTGTGCTGAACAATGCTAGTGTTAGCTGATATTCTTCCAACCACTTAACATCTTAACATAGTTCACGTAATGTTGAATGACCAAAATTATCATTCTCACTATATCTTGATCGATAGGATTTTATGAGCATTAGAAGAGTTAGAAAAATATTTGGAATAAGTAGAACTTAATAAAAATGAAAACTGTATGAGATAATTATGAAATAGATAACGCGATGGCGTTTAAAGCGAACAGTACCGAGTTCGAGTCCCAGAGTGAATATCAACTTTGAGATGCAGGTACATCCAGCTGACAAGTCCCAAATAGGATGAAACGCGCATCCTGGATTCCACTGCTAGCCACTATCCATCATTGCTTACAAAAAGCTTGTGAATTAAGACAATATCGAAGCATACGCACAGTATGCACATATGCTAATAACAGACTGATCAATCTCAGTCTTAAAACTCAATGGGAAGATACAAGCCAAACAATACCAAGTGAATTTATGAAATAGATGTTTAAAACCAAGAAGAATAGGTTATCTTTGTTCTATATTAAGGACTAACTAAAAGAAAGTGTAGACCACTGATTGTTACAGTGATGATTCACCGCTTCAAAGTATAAAACCGATAAATTTTATAGTTTCTGAAAAATTTATGATGTGTTAGATTTCTGACACTGCATGAGCTCTCCTAGGATTACTTCCAGTTCCAATCTTGGGTAAAAAATGAGAGTTGGGTATGGGTATCGGAAACACCATTCCATAGAAAACAACATTATCTAAAAAACGCTAACCAGATTTAACGAATTAAACCGTTTAAACTCTATAATCCGAGTTGAATGACTATTTATGAAGCCACATGATGAAAGTCAAGATTCTTCGGAAGTTACGAGTACGACGCCCCTTCTAACAACCAGAGCAACAATTGATATAGGTACATGCAATGGTCGGACAATGTGGGAGACTAGAAGGATTGATCAAATGGAAAATGAAATGAGGATTTAGAAACTGGCGGTGGTCGGAATGAGTGAAATCCATGAACTCAAGCTGCACAGCAAATGCTAGATTCGGAAGAGATGCTGCTGTACTACGGTCACGCACAGGAAAATGCTCCAAACACTCAGGGAGTTACTTTGATGCTGTCCGAAGAAGCACGAAATGCACTTATTGAGTGGGAATCTGATGGATCAAGGATCATCAAACATCCTTCAAAACAAAGAAGGAGGTAATAATAATGAATGTTATCCAGTGTTATGCACACATCAATGATGGCAATGATGAGGATGAAGATCAGTTCTATGAGAGGCAGGAATCAATCAAAGCGAAGTGCCCAAGAAAGAATCTGATCATCCTGATGGGAGACCTAATCGTCAAAGTCGGGATGCATGACACCGGATATGAAGATATCATCGGACGACATGGATCGGCTGGGAGGAACTAACAAGAATGGTGACAGATTTGCAAATATATATGCATCCAACAGATTGGTTATAGGTGACACAACATTCTCCCACAAACTCATACACAAAGCTAAATGAAGGTCACCGGATTATACTACACAGAATTAGACCGATCACATATTCATCAACAAAACATCAGGAAGATCCATGGATGACGTGAGAACTAGGAGAGGAGCTGACATAGCTTCAGATCACCACCTGGTTGTGGCCAAGATGAAAGTGAAACTAAAGAAACACTGGACAACTGGTGAAACAGCATTGCAAATGTTCAATACAACCTTCTTTCGACATACTGGCAAACCCAAACAATTCAAGATAACTCTCAACAACACATTCCAAGCCTTTCAAGATCTACTCAAAGAAGAAGGAGGAACTAATGTGGAGGAGAACTGTATAGAGATCAAAGAAGCATTGACTACAATGTGTCAGGATGTTTTAGGTCGAAAGAGGTATCGTCATAATGAATGAATCTCTATGGAAACCCTGGACAAGATTCAAGACGGAGTCAGACAAGGCTACTTACCCTCCCCCATTCCCTTTTCTTCTGGTAGTGGTCGACTGGATTATGAAGACTTTCAAATGTGATGGGAAGCATGGAATACAAAGGACAGCTCGGAATCAACTGGAAAGGTTAGACTTCGCAGATGACTTACTCCTTCTACACACGAACAAATGTAGTTCACGAAAACAAGTGTAGCAGCAGCCTCTACAGTTGAAGAATATATAGGACTCAAAACAACTGTCTTCAAACCAACATGAATGTGCGAATCTTCAATACGCATTTCCGGACAGTTCTACTGTACGGAGCTGAAACTTGGAGAACTATCACAGTCATTATCAAAAGAGTACAAGTATTTCTAAACAATTATCTACTCAAAATACTCAGTGTCTGTTGGCCGGATACCATCAGCAACAACCTACTGTGAGAGAGAACAAATCTGTCTCCAGGTGAAGAGGAAATCAAGAGAAGATATTGAAAGTGGATAGAACATACACTGTGGAAATCTTCAAGTTGCATCATGAGGCAAACGCTAACTTGATATCTATATTGGAAGGGGAAAAGTGGAAAGCCAAAGAACACACTGAATCGGGAACCGGAAGCAAACATAAAAAGAATGAATAGCAACTGGAAACAAGTGGAAAGGATTGGCTATGACAGAGTTGGATGAAAAATGTTGGTAGGTAACCTATGCTCCTCCACGATGGATAACATGAGTAAGTAAGCAAGACAGATTTCTGTTATCCGAAAGATTATTAATCATTGTTAACTAATTATAAATATAACTGTATTGTTTCACTGTCTGATCTTGTCAGAAGTGAAAACCTATTCACTGAATTATATATGTCCTTTCTTCAACGAATCAATCAACAACAAATGCAGGAGAAGACGAACAGTGTAGCAGCAACTCAGCAGCAGTAGGTCTCAATATACACAAAGGGAAAAGCAATTCCCGAACAACACGAAGCCATGACGGAGAAGATTTGAAGATGTAAACTTTATGATGAACAGGTGGTCTGATGCAGATGTGAAGGCACAGATCGGCAAAGCAAGAGCAGCATATTTACAAATGAGGAACATCTGGAACTCAAAGCAACTGTCAACCAACACCAAGGACAGGATTTTCAATACAAACGTCAAAACAGTTCTACTGTATGGGGCAGAAACCTGGAGAACTACTAAAGCCATCACCCAGAAAATACAGTTGTTTATTAACAGTTGTCTACACAAAATACTTCAGATCCGTTGGCCGGACACTATTAGCAACAACCTATTGTGGGAGAGAACAAACCAGATCCCAGCGGAGGAAGAAATCAGGAAGAAGCGCTGGAAGTGGATAGGACACACATTGAGGAAAGCACCCAACTGAGTCACAAGGCAGGCCCTCACATGGAATTCTGAAGGCCAAAGGAGGAGAGGAAGACCAAATAACATATTACGCCGGGAAATGGAGACAGACATGAGAAAAATGAACAAGAATTTGATGGAATTAGAAAAGAAGGCTCAGGACAGTGTGTGTTGGAGAATGCTGGTCGATGGCCTATGCTCCATTAGGAGTAACAGGCGTAAGTTCAACGAATCAATGGATTATTTTAAGGGTTATTATTTTGAACTATGTTCAACCTTTCTATGCCTTCTATTAAACAATCATATTTGAAAACTAATATAACAGTGTAGTGAATAAGAATACAAATGTGGACAATCGAATGTACCACAACACAAAATTACAATATCTCTTAGTAACATCTGAGAGTCATACAGTAGATACTTCATTTGCAAAAATGTCAATCAATTGTCTCAGATTTGTCTGATTCTTCTTTTCTAAACCAATCACTCTTTGTTCTCGTTCTTGTCGATCTACTTAACCTTCTATTGTTAAACATTCCCCTTTCGATTAATGATACATACTACTACTTATATCTGTCAATATCAGTAGTATACACCATAATAAGGGGTATATTCTTCAAAAATAATTAATTATACTTATGACAAATATATCAAATGAGAGAGAAAATACCTTCAGTTAGTTAGTTATATAAACAACTTAGAACCTGGTCATCATGTGCATTGGTTCAAGTGGTTATATCATAATATCACAACAAGATAAAGTTCAGTGTAATAATGATAATAGTATCAGTGTTACCAGCGAAACTAGAATTGAATAGTATAATCAAATGTATAAGACATTTTTGATAAGTAAGATCTGAAAGATAACAATCAGTGGATACATTTTTATACATTATGATCTATTTTGAGCCATATTATCCAGACTTTTCGACAATCGATAGTCTATATTTTTCCACATGGTTGACTGATCACTTGATGGTGATCAATGTCATGTGTGTCAAGTGTTTCTTAGAGTAAATCGAATGCTATCGACTAAGCTGCAATGTAGCCACTAGTCTAGGTGACTCGACATTGCGTGCACTATGTTGAGATAGAATGGTGGTTGGAGGTAGTCAACAGAAAACCCTGGACCCGGATAGCTCAATGGTAACGTCTCTAACTGTGAAGCTGGATGATACGGGATCGAATCCGTCAGGGAGCATTAGTTCCCTCGAGATTACAGGTTCGACTTGCTGACGAGTGACAAAGAGCACGAAACCCTGGTCCAGGGTTTCCTATTGACTATCTCCAACCACCATTCTATCTCAAAATAGTCAATAGTTTCATGAAATGATATGAAGTTGTGTTTTAGTTCCCTCCCTGAAATTCATACAATGTACTCTTACTATGGCCGTCATGGCCATCACTAGAACTAGAACCGTTGGATGCCGGCTTAGTGGTCTAAAGGTTAAGCGTTTGCGCGCGAGACTGAAGGACCTGGGTTAGAATCCCGCGGGTGGGATCGTGGATGCCCACTGCTGAGGAGTCGCACAACAGGTCGAAATGGCTATCCAGTGCTTCCAGGTATCCAACGGTGGTCTAACATCAATCGGTTCATGATCTCTATCAAAAAGTTAATAATCTCCACAACCTCATACTGATATATGCTATTTTTGTCTCACTATTAATATGGTAACGATAAATAAATCCCTAAAATCAATAGCTCTGTAAGTCTTCAACATTTGCTGTTGACCGTCTTAGTTTTAATGTACTCACCTAGTTGTAAGAACTCAGTGCATAGTTCGGCATCACATCATCAATGGATATACTGTTCTCAACTTTTCCTACAATCACTAGATAGTTTAAATCAGTCACTTCTCAATATATTGATAACTTATTAAATATATTTACGAATCTTTTCAGCTGTAACTCTTCTAGAGTTACTCCTAGTACCAAGCTCAGATAAAGGAGGAGAGATGGGCATGAAGTTAGTCACTCCATTCCATAGAACACTTACTCTCTATCATATTACCATTCAAGTGCGCATCCACGATCCCGCACCACGCGGGGCTCGAACCCAGGACCTACTGGCTTCGCGCGCGAGCACTTCGTGGATTGGTTGAAGTTAGACATTAACACCGTTGGATGCCGGCTCAGTGGTCTAGTGGTTAAGTGCTCGCGCACGAAGCCAGTAGGTCCTGGGTTCGAGCCCCGCGTGGTGCGGGATCGTGGATGCGCACTGCTGAGGAGTCCCATACTATGAGAAACGGCCGTCTGCTCCACTTACTCTCTAATCAGAAAATATATATATTCGAACCTCTTCACTTCTAACTTTTGATTTCATTGGATTAACACGTTTCGATGATTATAGAAAGTGTTACTAATAAAAGTGTTGTGAAATTTCAATGATCACAATGTTATATTTAACTTAAAAAGACTAAACAAATAGTACATTATAGTACATTTATAATAAGTGTACTTTTGGAATAATAATAGTAATAATACAAAACACAATAAAACACGAGATATAGCCTGCTCGTTAAAAATAAAGAAGACATTTCATTTGATTATTTTTAACCTGATTATCATTAAAATAGAAGTCCATTTATAACTCTTCTAACACTATTATCGGTTCCAAGCCCGGATAATAGAAGGAGGAGGAGGAAGAGAAGAAGAGGAAGAAGAAGAAGGAAAGGAGGAAGGGGAGGAGGAGGAGGAAGAAGAAGAAGGGGGAAAAGAAGAAGGAAAGGAGGAAGGGGAGGAGGAGGAGGAGCAGAAGAATGAGATAATATAGTCAATAAACATTGTCCCATTGAAAACAATCATACTAATCATTACACTATCCATTATTCAATGAAATACATTAAATTGATTCTATTATAATCATTATAAAATCTTAATAATAACAAGAAAAGAAAAGAAAAAAGTTTGCCAAAGAGATTAAGAGTCAAGCTAAGGTAACGTAAAGAAAAGAAAGAAAGGAAAGAAAAGAAAAAAGAAAATGATTAAATGAATTAGCCAAATTGGCATCTTTTTCCCCCCTGCTTTATAAATACAAATGAACAATCTTTGTTTGTGTTTTTTTTCTCTTTTAAAAAAAAACAAACAAAAAAAAAGAAAAACATTTTGTGTATGTTCTCCCTCCCCATACACACACATACACGTGTTTAAATCGATTCTATTTTGATATGTATACATTGCATATGTGTAGGTGTGCATCCGTGTGTGTGTGTGTGTATGTTGTTGGTAGTGATAGTGATGGTGGTGGTGGTGGCGGTGGTGGCGGTTGTTGTTGTTGTGGTGATGGTGGTGATGTTTTATTGAATTCATTATTCAATATTTCATGAACTATTTAAAACTAAATTGTATACACTACTGATTTCAATTTTATTAATCAGTAGTATAATGAATTATTAAAATAGACCACAATCTTTTAAATTAGATTTAATAATGACATCAATTACAGCATCAAATACAACACGTATATTATTATTATCAGTAGCACATGTAAAATGTGTATAAATTGTTTTAGTTGTTTTTCTACGATTAACATCTTCAAATTTTTCTCTTATATAATTTGATGCTTCTTCATAAATTTGTTCTCCGGTATATTCAGGGAAACATATTGTTAATGGAGATTTTTGTATTTTTTCATTAAATAAATCTTTTTTATTTAAAAATAGAATTATACTTGTTTCAACAAACCATTGACTATTACATATTGAATCAAATAATTGTAAGGATTCATGCATTCTATTAGTAGTTTGATCTTCAGCTAATTTTAAATCATATTCTGACATAGCAACTATAAATAATATAGCGGTAACACCTTCAAAACAATGTAACCATTTTTTACGTTCAGCACGTTGTCCACCTAAAATTAATCATAATCATAATCAATAATATAAGTAAACATTGTATTATGATCGATAATATTCGATCTGCACTAATAATAAGAACTAGACACGTATGATATTGATCACTACTCAGTGATTAATGAATTGTGATTACATATTCGATCTGCACTAATAATAAGAACTAGACACGTATGATATTGATCACTACTCAGTGATTAATGAATTGTGATTACATTATTATGATTATGATTACGTAATCATATGATGTCAGGTACTTATGTCGATATAAGTAGTATACAATGGTAGTGAGGAATAGAATGTCTGTTGGTAGTAGAAGGTTGAACAGATCAAAGAGGTAAGTAAATTCGACGAGACTTCAATTTATGGACGACCTTTGAACGAATCTTAATTAACTTTGAGAAATATTAGCCAATCAGCAAACAGTCAGTATAGAGTATAAATATGTTATACAAAACCAAGGAAATAAACTGGATACACTTCTTATACGTGGTTCAAAAACTCATCAAGGTGAGAAAGAGGTTCAGAGGTCCTATAACCGTAATGCATGCAGTAGATGAAATCATCCATACGGCTACAGAATAGTCGGCCTCTGGAGCCATGATAAAGTCTCAAAAACTCATTCAGCCTCGATCACATAGCTTCAATATTGTCTGTGTGCACTCCGGTTATTGAGTGCACAAAACGCTACTTGTGGATAACGACACGATGCACATAACCAAGCCTATGTAGAAGTCTGTACGCTCTCCAATCTTCCGTATATATTGTAATACTTGGCTGCAACCAGTGTTACTGGTGCTTTTATTATCCAGTTCGCAATAATTGTCATAATTTACCTTAGTTAGGAATTATATATAGGGTTTTCATCACGAACTGACACAAGCTATAATCCCAGAAATTTATTTAGCCAAATGGATGAAAGGCTTTCACGTTCAAATTCGAGATCTATTATCTCGTACCTAATTGTTTCGTCCACAAATTATAGTCTCGCCGTTTTATTTGTTATAGCCGCTCAATTATCACGTTTTGCACATAATTCCTTGTGAACCGATCGTACGTTAGCATTAAGCACTGAAGTTGACGCCGTAACCTTGAAATCTCTAAAACGCCTGTGATTGGCTCGTCCATAAGTTAGAGTCCCGCCGTAAATTTCAATAATAATTTTTAGAAAAACTGATTCATCATAGAAATTTCAATCATACGTCAATTGAAGGTAGACAACCATGGAAAACCTGGAAGTACTTGACGGCTGTTTCGTCATAGTATGGCACTTCTCATCAGTGCGCATCTACGATCCCGCTTGAGTGTGAACGCTTAACCATTAGACCAATGAGCTGGTCGGTATCCAACGGTGTTAATGTCTAACTTCAACCAATCCACGAAATCGGGTCACTGTATACCAATGTCTTCAGTGAGCTGATATCTCAAAACAGACCTGTCTGAACTTCACTGGTCATGGCTTCTCACTAGAACTCCAGGAAATGCCTCTTGGAGTCAGTCACTAGTGAGCAGATGATTATTGTCAGAAGGGGTTTTATGGAGATGGTTAAGCGCCCGCGCGCGAGACTGATAGTTCCTGAGTTTGAACATCCTGGGGAGGTGAGATCATGGATGCTCATTGCTGAGGAGTCCCACACTACGACAAAAACAGCCGTCCAGTGCTTTCAGGTTTTTCATGATGGTCTAGCTTATATCGATTGATAGATTCAATTATTATAAGTTAGGAATTGGAATGAAATCTTCATTGGAAATTGAACTCTTATATGTAACACTCAATCACTAGATTTGTACAACAATTCCCGTAATAAACACTTTCTGAATGTTGAAAAATGAATAGATAACCTCAAACATTATAATTGTTGAAATGGCATTTTTGTTATATCCATTCTTGAGTTATCCCCAGTCTGTTCATTACAGTCTACCATATTCACAGCCACTTTTGGCTAGACCTCGTACTATGATATGGTCTGTTTGGTTTTTATATAAACCGAGTACTATGTTGGAGTCTCAGAGTGGACATCAACTCTGAGATGTAGGTACACCTAGCTGACAAGTCCCAAATAAGATGAAACACATATACTGAATTCCAGTGCTAGCCACTACCAATCTTTGCTTATAATGCTTGTGACAGCATAGGATGCTCATATGCTAACAAGAGACTGATCAATTGCAGTCGTTAACAACAATGGAAAGATACCAGCAAATAATACCAAGTGAATTTATAAACCGAGTATGTTTGAAATGAATGATTTATATCACTGAGGCTGGGATTAATGTCCTGGACTCAACAGTCAGACAGGGCTAGTCAGGAAGAAGGACCTATAAAGACTCTAAACTGCTTGTACGGGTTTGTGGATTATTAGTTCTATTGATAAGTTACTGTTCTCTAGTTGGCGGTATCATTACGTTTATATATCAATAGGGCACAAGACTGGGAACTTATATTTGAATCTTATTCAAATATAGTTGAAGATAACCATTTGATCTAAAACAAACGTACTCAGTAAAATATTAGTAAATAAAAAGTCAACTCCGCCTGTAGCTCTCCTAGGGCTACTACTGATCCAGAGCCCGGGTAAATGAGGAAAGTTGGGCATGGGATCAGCAACCCTATCTTGTAGAAAACAAACTAGCTAAAAAGCGCTAACCAAAAGAGGATATTAGGAAAACACATTGGGAGTGGATAGTACACACATTGAAAAAATAATTAGACTGCATCACGAGGCAAACGCTAAGTTGGAATGTTGAAGGGAAACGGAAAAATGGAAAGCCAAATAACACATTGAGTCGAGAATCGGAAGCAGATATGAAAAGAATGAATAACAACTGGAAACAAGTGAAAAGGTGGAGAAGATTTGTAGCTCAGGCGGATGATTTTGGTGGTGTTTTGTTCTCTGAGCTGGATGGTTTGGTCATGGAGCTTTCATCGTTCTTCTGAATGACATCATCAGCACAAACTTCAGATAGAAGTGAAGTGTTCAAAGTTCTCCATATGTGTTTCACAGCTTGTTCTGTGCACCTCGATGTTGATTGGTTCTTATTGACCTTAAATTTATCATTGTTTACTTCTTTGTTTTGGTTGTGCCTCCCATTGGTTTGATTTTTGTTCCTATATTTATGCATGATTTTCCTGATTGGTTGATTTCAATATGTTTGTTGATTGCTGATTGACCTGAGTGCCAGGCTTCTAAAAATTCTCTGGTGTTTTTGGAGTTTCCTCTGTCTAAGATTTCCACATTTTTCCAGTCGAATGAGTGTCCGCAGTTGTCCACGTGTATTGATATAAATGAGGAGATATCATGCCGTTTGACTGCTAATTGATGTTCATGTATGCGCAGGTGAAGGGAGCGTCCGCTTTGTCCGATGTAGTGTTTTTCGCAGTTGGCACAATTCATTTTGTAGATGGTGTTTGGTTTATCTTCCTTTGTTATTTCATCCTTTGGTTTGCATAGGATTGATTGTAGTGATTTTGTCGGTTTGTGTGCCACACCCATTCCGAAGGTTTTCAGCAGTCTCGTTGCGGTCTCTGATATTCCTTGTATGTACGGTAGGGTGATCCTTTTGTTGATTTTTGTGCTTGACTTGGGTTCTGATGCTTTGTGCGGTTGGTATTTTTTGATGAAGTTGATTGGGTAGCCGTTCTTTTGAAATATGTCCTTCAGGTATTTCTCTTCATTTTTTCGTGCTGCCAGTGTGCTGCAGTATGTCCTCGCCCTCTTGAACAATGTGTGTACGCAGTTGATTTTGTGAGCTCTTGGGTTGTTGCTGTTGTAGTTGAGAATTTGATCTGTATGGGTGGGTTTCCTATATACTTGTGTTTCCAGTTTTCCTGTGTCGGTTCTAGTGATCAATATATCCAAGAATGCTAGTTGGTTGTTTGACTCCTGTTCCATTGTGAACTTGATGTCATTGAAAACGTTGTTGATCAGTTTGTAAGTGTTTTCCAATTCATTCTTTTTGACGATGACGAAGGTGTCGTCTACATAGCTCCACGACCAAACCATCCAGCTCAGAGAACAAAACTCCACCGAAAACAAATGAAAAGAATTATCCAGAACAGAGTTGAATGAAGAATGCTGGTGTGAAACCTATACTCCTCCATGAGGAGCAACAGGCGCAAGTAAGTAAGAAACTTTTTGTCAGGTATTTGGAAAGAAGTGTTCTTGACTTTGTTACTCTTAATGATATTAATATGTCATTAAATTTCCTACCGAAATTATAAAATGAATCATTCATCCTTTTATTTGCAATCTGTTGAAAAGAACAAATGTTGGCTAGCAATGAGATGAAAGACACGCGTTTCATCCTATTTGGGACTCATCAGTTGGATGTAGGCAGCTACACTGCACAAGAAATTGGCTATTAGGACTCAGTAATTAAGTGGATAACGCGATGGTATTTGAAGCGAATGATACTGGGTCCAAGTCCCGGAGTGAACATCAACTCTGAGATGTAGGTACATCCAGCTGACGAGTCCTATATAAGATGAAACGCGCTAACTGAATTCCATTGCTAGCCACTACCCATCTTTGTTTAGAATACTTGTGAATTAAGGTAATATCAAGGCAAGTGAATTTTGATCAGTCGCTATCGGTATATGTTCATACTGTGTAGAATACTAATGACACTACTATTAGATCCCAACTATAGTTTGAATTTGGATAGTGTGACTAGCAATTCAATCGAGGGTGCACATTTTTTCGTATTTAGGACTTGTCAGCAAGATATACCTGCATCCTAAACTTGTACTAATGTTTACACTTCAACAATCAATACATTGACCACCAATCTACTGAATCCAAATAGTCATTGACTTCTGAAGTAAAAATGTATACTGATTTCAAATGGTGAATTCAATATAACAAGGAACTGACATCATGAAATCTACTGTTAGCCACAATCTAAGTCTGACTAGAATAATGCTTAAAACTTTACGACAATATTGTATTAGTCGACCCTAAATATACAAAACATATACTAGAAGAAACTGATCAATTAC